ATGGTCATTTGGGCTATTTTTGCACACAGTACTAAATTGAGTTAGCTTTAACCTTGATTAGTTCCTTGGTGCGTGTGTTTGTGTGTGCGCGCGGGCGCCTTAAAAGTATGTTGTGTGAACCCAGGCCACTGGCTGACTTAATGATTCATTGTGTTGTGCAAAGCCAGGAAATGGAAGAACTGTGCAACAAGATGAAGCCTGTTGCCAGATTGTCTCCTCTTAATCTTCTGAGCTTTGAAAGAGCTCACGGGGGAATTTGTGGTTCCGAAATGACAACCCTTGCAGATTCACCAAGACAACCTTGGAAGCCCAGCAACAAGGATCATTTCCAGTGTCACATCCTAATCTTCATTGATTACGTTACCTTGCTTGAAAGCAAAACCATTGTAACCCCCAAATCTTAGCTTGGAAGAACTCCTGAAGAACACAACACGTCCTAATCCTCCCGTCTCTCTTCTCTTGTAGGCCTCTGGGCTCAGAAGGTGCTTGTCAATGAGACGGTCTCCGGCTTCATCGGGACCGATGTAGTCCTTCATTGCAACCTGGTCAATATCAACCACACAAGGATCACTCAAGTCACCTGGCAGAAGGCCAGTAATGGCTCCAAGCAAAATGTGGCCATCTACAACCCCGTCATGGGTGTCTCCATCCTGCCCCCCTACAAGAAGAGAGTGGACTTCCAGAACCCATCCATCACCGACGGGACCATCAAGCTGTCCAACCTGCAGTTGGACGACGAAGGGATCTACATCTGTGAGTTCGCCACCTTCCCTACCGGCAACCGGGAAAACCAACTCAATCTCACCGTATTGGGTAAGTTGCCGATATCATTTTATTCGTTCTTTACAAGTATTAAAATGATACGCTGCCCTCTCATTGTTCAAGAGATGCTGGGTGGCTTACAACCCCGTAAAAGCAAAATGTCAAACGTTACCATTGAAAGAAATTTGATAAATTAGGAACCAGAAATTCAACGAGAGGTGGAGATGGGATCTTTCTCCTAGACTACTAACCAGCACCGACCTGGAATGCCCCATTGGGGTCCCATGCGGGTTGGCAGAGCCAGGTTTTGGGGTCATTTTGGAAGGCCAAGAGAGTGGGGAGGCAGATCTTGAGGGGCACAATGTTCCAGAGGGTGGGAACCTCAGCAAAAGAGACCTTTCTCCTGGGCGCTGCCAGAGGCAATTCCTTGACCAGTGGGGTCCAGATCATGCCCCTTCTGTCAGAATGAGTGCAGCATGCCTACCCATTGGGGCTACAGCAAAGACAAAGTGTGCATCTGAGTGATCCATCAGTCTTCCCCTATGCTGTTTGATGGTCATGTGGCTTTACTAGTTTCTTACCCTGTTTCCCTGAAAATACGACCTACCCTGAAAGTAAGTCCTAGCTTCATTTTTTCCCTTCATCTCAACAATAATGTTATTGCACAGGTAAAAATTAAACTAGGGTGGGGATTGGGGGTGGTGGTGGAGCTGCCCTACTACTTACCTTTGGACAGTTGTAGCCAGGCCTCGCACACCCAACACCTGCCTTGCTGGCCCATTTCTTCTGCAGCCAGCAAGGCTGGCCAAGCTTACCTGAAGGCCTCTGGAGCTATAACAAAGCTCTGGATCGATCCAGAGCTCTGTTATCAGCTGCAGAAGGCTTAAGGAAAGCCTTGCCAGCTGCAGAAGAAGTTCCTGAAGGCCTCTGACAGCGAAAAGGAGGCCAGGGGGTGACCTGCCCAAGTGAGATTAGTCCGTGGATGACATCCCCTGAAAATAAGACCTGGTGCATTTTTTGGTAACAAAAAAATATAAGACAAGGTCTTATTTTCAGGGGAACATGGTACCTGGATTTGGTAGACATATTTTCCCTTATATATAGAAATACACACACGTCTCTTTTTCATGAGAAAACTCAGCTGCGAGTTAGAATGAGAGCAGGAAATATTTGCCTTCATTCAGCACAGGTTTTGACTTGTCCTCAGGTGATGACCAGTGTCATCAGATGGTCTTAGATAGATTGTCTGCAGTGGCTTCAGGCTGGCTCCATTAACCACGTTAGAGTTGGTGACTCTGTCGCAATCTTACTTTGAGAGCATTGTTGTTGAGATGAAGGAAAAGAAATGGACTCTGGACAAACGCAAATGTCTGTGTAACAGGGTGAAGCTTGTTATCCAAATTATTGCCCAACTTCTCATTCCGGGCTCCTTGTTTTGAAAATATTGATGCAGGCCATTTAATGTAAACCCTCTGGCAAGTTTACAGCAATAATATAAAAACAAAACTCCTTTAAAAAAATGATCCGTGAAAAACATCAACATTAGTGGGAGTTTGTGGCTGGGGAAGGTCATCCGTAAAAGCTCAAAACCAAAGTAGAACTGAGACTCTCCTGTTTTATGGTCTCATTCTGTAAATACTAACATCAAACTGGCTCTCTGCTTTTACATTAGAGAAGACTTATTTCTGAATCCAGGCCTTACTATCCACACATTTCACTAAACCATGGCTTATTTTAACACTAGTCTGTAGAATAACCATAGTGACTTGGTTCACACAGAGCAGAGAATTGTTTGCAAATAACAGAGTTGAAAGGGACTTTGTAGGTCATCTAGTCCAACCCCCCTGCCCAAGCAGGAGACCCTACACCGTTTCTGACAGATGGCAGTCCAGTCTCTTCTTGAAAGCCTCCAGTGATGAAGCTCCCACAACTTCTGAAGGCAACTTCTGTTCCATCGGTTGATTGTCTTCACGAAGGACAAGAAAATTCCTTATTTCCAGGTTGAATCTCTCCTTGTTCAGTTTCTATCCATTATTCCTTGTCTGGCCTTTGGATGCTTGGAATATAGGTAGAAATCAACATGCTAGCCTAGAACTCAGATATATGAGACCACCTGCTCTTTCTCCCTTTAAGTTCTCCTTTTTTTGGAGAACTAGAGGTGTGAAAGGAAGGTGAGATGGTCATCAGAGGCTACAAAAGAGCCCTCAGCTTCTCCTTTTCTAGCATACCAGATTTTCGTAGCATATTTGCGATCACGTCCAGGTGAAGAATGATGCAAAACCTGCCCCATTTTTCATGGAAATGTGGCATTCCAATGAATCCGTTTCAGCAATGGGAACTCATTTGCCGATTGCATGTGTTACTCCATATAGGTATGTATTTATAAGATTCCTATTTCCTCCTGTCTTGTAAAACACAACTTTGGATGGCTCACAACAATAATAGAAAGACAAAGAAGGAAAACAAGCTGTAGCCTGGTTTCATCTGACATGGGATGCAGAGAGAAGCCCATGTCAACAAGTCTACCGAGATCTTCACTGATGTTCAGGTCTTGGGCAAACTAATGAGGAGGACATCATGTTAATGTTCATCAATAGCAATAGCACTTAGACTTATATACCACTTCACAGCACTTTCCAGCCCTCTCTAAGCTGTTTACAGAGTCAGTCTAATGCCCCAACAATCTGGGTCATCATTTTACCAACCTTGGAAGGATGGAAGGCTGAGTCAACCTCGAGTTGGTCAGGATTGAACTGCTGGCAATTGGCAGAATTAGCCTGCAATACTGCATTCTAACCTAGAAGGAAGGAAGGAAGGAAGGAAGGAAGGAAGGAAGGAAGGAAAAGAAGGGAAGGAAGGAAGGAAGGAAGGAAGGAAGGAAGGAAGGAAGGAAGGAAGGAAGGAAAAGAAGGGAAGGAAGGAAGGAAGGAACATAGCAATAGCACTTAGACTTATATACCACTTCACAGTGCTTTACAGTCCCTCTCTAAGAAGTTTACAAAATCAGCCTCTTGCCCCCAACAATTTTGGGTCCTCATTTTACCCACCTGGGAAGGACGGAAGGCTGCATCAACTTTTGAGCCTGGTGACATTCGAACTGCCAAATTGCAGGCAACCGGCAGACAGCAGGAGTAGCCTGCAGTACTGCACTCTAGCCACTGCGCCACTGTGGCTCAAACGACAACTCGTGGTCCTTGTTGTTTATTTGATCATGACTCCTTTGCTTCCACTTGCTGATCTCTTGCCTTTTCTTCAGCCAAACCAGTAAACCGGATGGAAAGTACCACCAGACCACTGATTGCCCGGGCCGGCATGACAGAAAAAATCCTGGTGGCCACCTGCATATCCTCCAATGGGAAACCTCCCAGCACGGTGACCTGGGACACTAAGCTGAAAGGCGAGGCGGAATTCCAGGAGATCCGCAATGAGAATGGCACCATCACTGTGATCAGCCGCTACCGTCTTCTACCAAGCCGGGAGGCCCATCAGCAGCAGCTGAAGTGTGTGGTCAACTACCAGTTGGAGCGTTTTACGGAGAGCATGACCCTCAACGTGCTGTGTAAGTTGGAGAAGCGGGAGCGATGCTTAGAGTTAGGACTTCAAAGAGACAGGACTTAAAAATGGGAGTGTCAGGGTTCCAAGAAATAGACCCCTACTGAGCAAAAGGCTGATGAATTCCTCAAAGAACAGCTTTATTGGATATATCATATTGGCGCAATCTAGTGAAAACCAACTCTGAAGATTCCCACAGTTTTCGCCTCATTAAAAATGAAAATTTCCACCCCAATCCCAAACTATCAGCCACATGGTCCAATCGAGGCACTGTCCGGTGGTCTGGTGACATTACTCCTCAGGCCACCTGTGAGAACATCCTTGGTTCCCAGGGGAAAGTATTGTATTTTGACTACACAACCCCAGCTATCTCTAATCCCCTCCTCCCTATCCATCCCTCAGCTCCAGTGTGGCAACACTGAAGCTCCAAGATGGCTTCAGCCAGGCCAGCTTCAGGGTTGACAGGCAGATCTTACCATGGCTTATCACAACCACCTCAGTGAAGATTCGATTATTTCTCTTGTTGGGGAGTTGCACTAGGCATGGGCTTCCCTGAGTGAGGAGGGGCAAGTAGCAAAACATGAGTGATGAGGTCTGGGCACAAGGACATCTGCAACCATCATCGTTGGCATGATGGGTGCCATGCCTGTGTCGTTTTGACATCATTGTGGTTTGCTGCAGGAGCCATTGTTAGGAAATTAAAGTGGTCTCCAGGACATCCATTAATGTCTGCCTCTTCTCTCGCCCTACCTCCTTTTGCTGTTTTTCCTACTCTCCTGTCTCCTCCTGACTTCTCTGGTTTCCCTCCATCCTTCCTCTTTTTCTCCTTGCCTTTCCAATTCCGCTTTTGCCCTTATCTGTCCAATTTTTCCTTTCTTCTCCTTGGCTCATCCTTTCACCCTTGTTTCTCTCCATCCTTCTGTTCTCCAACCCTGTTCTTCCCATCCTTCTCTTCCTCAATGTTGACCTCATTCCTAATCTTCTCAACCCCATGTCTATCCTTCTTGGCTCTCTTGACTCTTTCTTCTCTCCATCTCTGTATCTCTCTTCTCTTATCCTCCTCCTTTCTTCCTTCATCTCTCTCCTCCACCATGTTCCTCCATTCTGTCTTCCCTGCTCCACAGATGAACCCGAGGTTAGAATCGATGGTTTTGACAGCAACTGGTACCTCAACCGGAAGGATGTGAAATTGACTTGTACATCTGATGCCAATCCTCCTGCTACGGAGTACCAATGGAAGCTGTAAGTATTGGTCCACAGCACATGGATGAACTGTTATGAGTTCTTTGCAGCACTGAACGAGTAAGGAGCCCAATGGGAACACTTTTGTGCCCGGGGCCGTAAAGTTCCTTCAAGAATTACGTGGTCAGATAGTGCAGGTGAAGGAAGAATGATTGATACCTCTTTTCCTCCATTATTTTACGTAAGCTGTACCCTGAAGGCAGCAAGGTAGAGTTCCTTAAGCAAGGCCCCAGCTTAGCTGTCCCATTTGAGCTACTGTTCTCTGTGCAAGTCGTTTATATAACCCTTTTATTTATTCTAATTCTAGTCATTTCTGCAATATTTGTTACATGGTGAGTTTTGTGTTAGGAAAATGATCACAATGAGCGGTGCTGATGATAGAAACCAGTGCTTTCTCTTGAGTTCCCTTCTATCTGATAGAGGCAGCCACTATAGAGAGAAGAGATGTTTTAGGACTTAAATGATGGACTACAATCTGTTCCATGTCCCTCCTCCAAATGCTAACAAATACAAGTTGTTGTTGTTAGTTGCAAAGTTGTGTCCGACACATTACAACCCCATGGACAACATTCCTCCAGGCCTTCCTGTCCTCTACCATCTTCTGGAGTCCATTTAAGCTCACGCCGACTGCTTCAGTGACTCCATACAGCCCCCTCCTTCTCTGCCGTCCCCTTCTTCTTCTATTGCCCTCCATCGTTCCCAGCATTAGGCTCTTCTCCAGGGAGTCCTTCCTTCTCATGAGGTGGCCAAAGTCTTTGAGTTTCACCTTTAGGATCTGGCCTTCTAAAGAGCAGTCAGGGTGGATCTCCTCTGGGACTGACCAGTTGGATGGCCTTGCAGTCCAAGGGACTCGCAGGAGTCTTCTCCTCCAGCCCCAGAGTTCAAAGGCCTCCATTCTTTGGCGCTCAGCCTTCCTTACGGTCCAACTTTCTCAGCCACACATTGCAACTGGGAAAACCACAGCCCTGACTCTACACACTTTTGTTGGCAGGGTGATGTCTCTGCTTTTTAGTAGTCCTTAACTAATGACTGTATTTGAGTCTCCAATTACGGTCATTAAGTCACGCTGGTTGTTAAGCCGGTTATCACAACCGTACCTGTTTTTAACGATCTTTGTTCAGTGATCATTAAGGGAAGACTATTGTTAAGTGAAGCCATTTTTGATTATGACTGGGTTGGGTTTTTTTTTTTTTTTTTGCTAGAAACAAGAAGTAAATGTCTGTTTCTGACAAAAATATCATAAATCGCCATATGTGATTGAGGGATGCTGCAAATGGCTGCCAATAGAAGTCGTTTGCCAAAAGAATAAAAAGCAGTAATATGAATTTGGAGGTGGGGGGAAACCTTCAGAACTCCAGAACTGAGTTGTAAGTACCTTCTGTCGTAACGTTGAAAAATCATTAAGCAACAGGTTGTAAGTGGAGGATGCCTGCATCCATAACAAACCCTGGATCTCTCCTCCAAGGGAAACTGATCAGGGTTCACGACAAACTATCTGCAAACCGTGATCAATTTCAAACCTATTGGGATGCAATGTGTGGCTTTGCAGGTGTTTCACAAAAGCAAAAAAAAAAAAAGGAAACTCCACCATCCTCCCACACACAGCAATCAAGAGCCTCTATTATTAGCAGGCGAGAAGATCCAACCTGTTGCATCGCTCAGGTGTCAATTCATTCTCACCTTTCGTGGTTCGCAGGACTTCTTTAGACCTCAGAAGTAGGTCTCTGGCGCTGGATTCCGGTTGGTTTCCTTGGAAAAGATTCCAAATAGAACCCACCCCTGGCCTGGTTGTCCTCAGATATTTCTACCTTTTCTTTCTTTCTTTCTTTCTTTCTTTCTTTCTTTCTTTCTTTCTTTCTTTCTTTCTTTCTTTCTTCCTTCCTTCCTTCCTTCCTTCCTTCCTTCCTTCCTTCCTTCTTTCTTTCTTTCTTTCTTTCTTTCTTTCTTTCTTTCTTTCTTTCTTTCTTTCTTTCTTTCTTTCAAAAATGTTCCTTTCTCCTTCTTGGCAACCAAGATGTTATTGAGGTTATCAATTTCCACCCACGTGTGCATCTCTGGCTATCAGCTTAGGAAGGAGCGTTTGTGTGTGTGTGTGTGTGTGTGTGTGTTGTTTCCAAGCAGACACATTTAGATCAGCAGCTGGTGAGTCATTGGACACATTACCTGCAGTGACCTGGATGGAATCGCTCAGGCGAGTGAGCGGAGAGTCCCTTTCACACAAACAGCCCAAGAAGAGATGGGAAGATGCCCAGCTAGGATTGACACTGGCTGCTTTCTGCTGGGCAGCCTCACAAATGCATTGCCTCTAGAAAGCAAGCATGTCAGGAAGGAAGCTTTCCTTCCCTTTCTCTTCCGTGGGCGGAGATTTAATGGATTGGTATGGAGAAACCATCAGTCCCGGAGCCCTGGCATTTAACCTGGATGTGGTGCGATCCTCACAACACTCAAATATGTCTTCTGTGGTTGAAGAAGGCCAGCAGAATAACATTTTCCAGGTGACCAAGGAGGAAGAAGCTGACTTATCTAAACAGAGAGCCAATCTAATCATCACATGGGTTTCTCTTTGCACTGAGAGTTTCTCTGTTAATGTATTGCTTTTGGATCTGAGCACTCCCCTGTCTTCAAGCCCCAAATGCAATTAAATTCTACAATAAAGTAGAATTAACTCATCTGGCCATGTTTTTATCCACTCTACCTGGGAAGGCTGACATCCGTCTCGAAAGTCTGAAAATACAATTTTCCCATTGTCTCTTTTACACCCCAATAATTAGGAAGGGTCCTTTTTCTGAACTTCTTACTGCATCCATTACGCAGCTGTGGGCTACGCACCCTCTTATCCTATAATTCCCTAAGCAGCATCTCTTTGACTGGTGTCCCAAGGCCATTCTCGTATACCATTACAGCCAGGAACCTACTCGTGTAGAAATTCAGCATGGATATAAGGCCCTGAATAACAGTGTTCTGTCGGAGGGCTCTCAACCCCTCCAGTCTTGAAGAGAATGATCCCATTCTGTGCCAAACAGGTCACATATCCAGCTTGCAGGCCTCTGTAAGGAATAAGGCAGGAATAGGAAGGAATAAGGCAGTGAAAGCATTTGTATATGATGAAAAAAAAAGATCCTGAGGCATCAGAAAGAGTGCAGAGAAGTGCACCAAAGACGACTATGGCGCTGGAAGCTAAACAGCTAAGAGAACTAAAGTATTATGCGTAGCCTGATGAAGAGAAGGACTAAGGGGGACACGATAGCACCTTCCAATACTTGAAGGGCTTCTATAGGAAAGAGGAGGTCAATTTATTCTCCATAGCATCTGAGGGCAGGCTAAGAAGCAATAGGTGGAACCTAATGAGAAGGTGATCCAGCCTGCAGCTAAGAAGACGCTTCCTGATAAAAAGAACAATTAATAAATAGAAGACGGTATTTCTAGGTTGAACTATGGGGTCCTTGGTACTCTCTTGAGCTTGGTTGTTTTCTTGTAGACTTTTCTGACCAACATCTGCAGCTAACAACCCAGACACATCCCATAGTCCTAGCAATTGATGATGTCCCTCAGTTTGGTCATGACACATCTGCCAGAAAACAACCAAGCTTGAAGAGCCTCAAGAACCCCATCATTAATCAATGGAATAGCTTGCCCCCAGAAGTTATGGATACTCCATCACTAGAGGTTTTCAAAAAAGAAAAATAGGACAATAATTTGTCCAGGGTGGTCTATGGACTCTTGTCTTGAGGATTGGACTACGAGATCTCCAAAATCTTTTGCTTGGAGGTTTTCTAGTCCAGGTGTCTATGATTCTAAGACCTTCAAATCTCATACTCTCTTCCTTTTTCAAAACAACACATTCGTTTTCTGGCTGGGAACGCTATAGCTTGCCTTAAATTATAAAATATTGATTGCTTCTCTTCAAAGTCCTTGCCAGCGTAGCTGCTTGTTTGGGGCATGTTAACATGGAGAAAAATCAAAGCTGTTCTGATTGTTTCTATCTCTTTGGGCCAAATAGCTGATGGTTAATGATGGTGGCGATGGTGTATTTTAAGGAAATAGAAGGTGACGCTGTTTTAGAGGACCCTGGTGATTGGCATGTGTGCGTGGGGGCTGATTTTTTCTATTCATTAATTGCTCCCAAGGGGAGGGAGGGGTTTTCCCCACCACCCACTGCTTCTAATTGGAGCATCGTCTGAATGCAAATTGGGCCTGTCACCCCTGGGTTGGGTGCCTGTCGATTGCTTTTGCTGAACTTAATTGCTTTCCCTCGGATTGATTAAAAATGAGCAAACTGCATAATTTTCCTCTGTGCGCAGTGTTGTTTTTGTTTGTTCTGTGATATTTTTGCAAAACACTTAGGAATTGATTGATTTTTAAATGTATTTATTTGTTTGTTGAGCGTCTCCCAGTTTCTATCAGGGCTAACAAGACGAGGCTGCTGTTCCTGTAGTATTTGGGGGGAAAGAACCAGTGGTGGGATTCAGATTTTTTTTTACTACTGATTCTGTGGGTGCGGCTTGGTGGGCCCTCCCCACCTCACTAACCTGCTTTCCAGCTCTGTTCTTGTTGTGGTTCGCCAGCAGCAGGTGCTGCTGATCTCTCGGAGAGCGAGGACTCAGATGAGGGGCCTGTGTGTGTGAGGCAGGGATGGGGCCAGAACCATCGGGGAGTGGAATGCTGCCTTTAGAGATTGTGGAGGCTGGCAGCAGTGAGGAAGAGGTCCCCGAGGAGCCTGTGCCCGGTGAGCGTATGTGCAGGGCTGCTCGAAGGAAAGAGCAACTGCAGCAGCACGGGAGACTCAGGAGGAAGGCTGCAAGGTAATGGCCCCTCCCTAAGAAGACAAAAGCCAGCTGAGAAACTGCAGTTCTTTGCAGAAGGCAAAGAAGTTTGATACTCAAGCCTGATGGGCGCTAGGAATATCTGAGTTGGTGTTTGGAGGCTCTTTGATTTATTGTTTAGGAACTTTATCTGTTGCTCTTGTCAGCCTTGCAAAAACTTGGCAAGGCTCTTTCTTATTGGAGCTAATTAGTTGGAAGTAGCCTTTTGAAGAAACAGGATTCGTAAATGACACAGTAAAAGGCTGTGTTACCTTTGTCTTGTGTTTGCTCTCTTGGAACCAGGTTTGGGTCAGAACAGTTCTCCTGTGCAGGGCAACCAAAGAAGACCCAGCCGATCACCTGGGACTCAATGGGAGGCAGAGAAGAGATGGGGGAGGTGCCAGTCAGAGGTGGGATTTGCTGGTTCTCCAAACTATTCGAAATTTCTGCTACCGGTTCTCCAGAACCGGTAAGAACCACCTCTGGAAAGAACCATTCCCATAGAACAGATAGCGTTAGTTACTTAGTTTATTTTGTTGTCATTGCACCTCATACAACGAAATTAAATGCCATTTTCAGTGTACATTATGACTATAAAAATAAAACACAAGCACACTTCCTTCGCATTCTATACAATTGAATTGAAAACCCCTGATATTGCATTAGCGTTGCACTATACAGTAGAATTCAATATAGTTAGTTACTGCTCTTGGGAGAGAAGCTGTTTTTCAGCCCATTCATCCTTGTTTTTATTATCCTGTACTGTCTGCCAGATGGTAATAGTTCAAAAAAAAAAAGGGTGCCCAGGATGAGATTATTAGCAAATCTATTTTGGGGAAGATAGGTGAATAAAATACCCTAGGTTGAAGTTATCCCTTCTTTAGAGCCAGAGAGCTAATTTCATTTTTATTTTTATTTTTTGCCTTTTCATCTTATCCTTTTTTTTAAAGAAATCAAGCAGTTGTATATCAGAAGTTAGCAACGTGGCAGCTGTAGATCCTAAAAGTCCTCTCTCTTAAAACTTAAATTAATAATTTAAAATGTTTTCGAACACTGAAATAGGATGATAGCCATCTCCCTCAACAACTGGTGTTTTCAGGAGGTCATAAGAAATGATCATGCCTGTGCAAAAGCGAAGGCATTTCCTTTGCAACCAGGTGTGTTCTGCTCACTGTTGGTGCAAAATAACCTCTGTGTCATACCAATAGAACATTTGCAGCTTGCAGGGAAACAACCAAGCTGAGAGAGCTCCAAGGATCTCACAAGAAACCAACACTCCCACCAACACTAATAGGGAAAGCCACGGCATATAAACAGAGAGCAAACCCTACTTCCTTCTAGCACTGATGATGTTACCTAGCTGGGTCATGAAATGTCTGCAAGAAAACAACCAAGCTCAGAGAGCACAAAAGGACTCAACAGTTCATCCCTGAGCTACAAATACGCTTTTCTGGTTGGTTAACAAAAAGGAGTAGGACTTCAAAGGAGAGACTTCGATAGCTTCCAAGGGATGTGTCTGAGTTGTGAGCTGGAGATGTTGTCTATCTGAATCATAAAACATCTGCAAGAAAACAACCCAGCTTAGAGAGCACCAAAGACTCCATCATTCACCCCTGAACTACGAATATGCTCTTCTTTTGGTTAACAAAGAGGAGGAAGCCAGATAGCTGACATGGAATGGGAGTGTTACTCTGTTGGCTGTGGAGGAGGCTGGGGAATGGCAAAGTCCAGCTGGGGAGAGATAGAAGAAGGGAGAGGGAGTTCAGGAAGACCCAGGCCCACCCTCTCTTCATCCTATAAGGCACTCAAGGAGGAACAGAGAAGAGAGCAGCAGGGGTTGCGTGGCTTACAGGGAGGAAATGGCCCTGATTCCCTTCATTAGGCACAGCTGGGAAGACAGTTGATAAGAAAGGCAGGCTGAGTGCAGCAGGCTTCTGGGAGCAAACATGACTTTATCCTGTTGTCATGGCTTATCTGTGTTCCTGGCATCTTCCCAACCATGTGAATTTTGCCATGCCTTCAAGTCTGAAATTCTTGCTGCTGCCCTGCCAAACTAATTGCTTGTTTGGACTTTAAGTTGCAGTTTGTGTTGACCATGTTTTGGACTTGATTCTCTGCAGCCAAAGGCTGTTCCCGAGAGAGTTTGTCTCCAGCCAGAAAGTAACGTGGACATTGGGGGCAAAGTTGGAGATAATAAAGGGACTCTTATTGCTTATCTGACTGTGTTGCCTTTGTGCCACGCCCCTTTGGGTCATCACACAAGGAATGTGTCTGAGTTGTGAGCTGGAGATGTTGTCTAGTTGAGTCATAAAACATCTGCAAGAAAACAACCCAGCTCACACGAGCACCTAGATCTTCTGTCTTTTTGCCCAGTCCCATGCAGGAGAAGGTAGTTAAGCCCAAGATCCTAACTACACCATTGATCAGGAATCGCCCTACAGGCAGGTTTAATAATTGAACACATACAGAAGTTGCAAGGTGCCCAATGACAAAGTTGGACTCACCAGCCACCGTTTGTACAATCAGTAGCTGGATGAAAGCTTTCTACTAATGGCCCAGGGGTTTTGTCTTCCTTTTTTTCCGACAGGCTGAATGGCTCGTTGCCCGACAGTGCCGAAATTCAAAACAGCACTCTGTTCTTCAAAGGACCAGTCACGTACAGCCTATCGGCAACATATATCTGTGAAGCCACCAACACCATCGGCACCCGATCTGGGCAGGTGGAAGTGAATGTCACAGGTAGGCGTTGAAAACCGTGGTGGACTATCTACCTTGTTGGGAGGGTGCAGTTTGCCAAAGATAAACCTAGTTTAAGCTATCTCTGTATTTTTACAAGCTTGCTTTGACTTCTCACACCTTCTCTGCTCCTCTGGGGGATGGCGGGGAAACTATGGAATCCGGTGGGATTTTCTGGCCTTTCCATTTATTTAAAAGGGTGTTTGTTTGTTTTTTTTCATTCGGAGTGCTGGTTTTTCTGGAATTCCTGTTGGTCTTCCTGCTTTTTTTCCCTCTCCTTTGGCTGGCAATATCTCCATTTCTCTCGCTTTTCCTTCGGTGCCCATTCCACATCTGGTTCAAAGCCAGAAGGATGAAAGGCCGTGAGAATCAGAAGAAAAGGGTGGGGAGGGGGAAATGAGAGGATGGGATGTCAAAAGACATGCTACGAGGACATGTCTGAAAGAGGATGAAACAGGGGCTGGTGTTTTGTTCCTTCGTTTGTTTCCAAAAGGGATGTTGGTTTGGTTTTTTTTTTTTTTTCAAAGGCTTTAGGAATAAAGTCACTTGGTCAGAATGGCTGTAGTTGAGTTCCTGCTGGTTTTTCCGATGTCATTCTTAATTCCAAGCATGTAGAGATTTTGTGTGTGTGTGTGTGTGTGTGTGTACAGTTTCCCTCCAGGGTTGTTTAAAGGCTAATGGGTAGGCTAAGCCCCAGAAGGGAAGGGTTGAGTAAGAGATGAGATGTGATGTTAGCAGAATTGGTGGGCAGAAGGAGGACAGATAGCAAGAGATGACAGTTGAGGTCCTTCGACTGGGATTCTCCCAAGTGTAACTCCATAGCTCCCATCCTCTTGATGCCAAGCCAACCAAGTTGGAAGGTTCAAGGGGAGGAAGTGCTTGTCGTGCTATGCTGGCTGGGGAATTCTGAGAGTTGAGGTCAACACATCTTAAAGTAGCAAGATAGAGAACCCTTGCTGTAAACTAAGAAGGCAGCCTGGTGTAATTGGGGAAAAGGGGATCAACTCTTCGTATTATTGTCAGCATCTTCCGCTGTTGCTTTCCCTGTGCAGGAACACCCCACCTCACCCCCTCAAAAAAAGCTTTTTAAACAGCCTGTTTTAAATTGGAATGGTAGTTGGCAGAGTTTTCCTGCATTCTAAATGGGAGGGAGGGAGGGAGGAATTGTGAAGAAGGAAGGAAGGGATAGCAATAGCACTTATATACCACTTCACAGTGCTTTCCAGACCTCTCTGAGTGGTTTACAGAGTCAGCCTCTTGCCCCCAACAGTCTGGGTCCTCATTTTACCCACCTCGGAAGGATAAGAGGCTGAGTCAACTTTGAGCTTGGTGGGATTCGAACTTCCAATCTGCTGGCAGCCAGTGCTCAGCAGTACTGCCTTCTAACCACTGCGGCTCGTGATGCTCTTTTTAAGGCCTGCTCTGCATCCCAGAGAGGTGGAAAAGGCAAAAGGGCCCGAATTCAGCACGCCCACCCAAGGGGCCTCCTGATAACTGGGTTCTTGCACGCCCAGAGTCATCCCTCAGCCCCCAGGGAGGAACAGACTGAGCTGACCGCGATGGCCACCGCTTGCTGCAAGCCGAAGGCTGCCAGTTACAGCCCGATAAAGCAAGAGCTCGGTGGAAATTTAATGTTTTCTTCTCGCAATCTGTTCTCGGAAGAGCTGGGTGTTGCAGGACATTTGTTAGCTGAATGAACATCCAGCCAGCGAGATGGGGAAGTTTACCACGGTTGGCTTGCATGAAGTTAATCAGGAGAAGGGAGAGAGGAAGTTTGGGATTGAAGGGAACACGCTTTGCCAACCATGCACATCTGGGCATGCATAGAGAGGAGAGTTGCTCCCGTTTGGAGCCAGCCAGAGCTCCTCGTTCAAAAAGTAGACAGATCTGGGCTTAAGGGTTCTTTGCCAGCCAATCCTGGCTTTTTAAAGACATGATTTGCACCCACCACCCTGCTGCTTGTGGTCAGATGTCCTCTCTGCAAACTTTGTGGATGGATGTTGTGGCCTATCGGCCACCAGCCCCTCCAGCAGCTGAATCAGAGGAGGAGGTGGAAGCGTGGGAGTCAGGGCAACCTGGGAGCTCCAAGGGGGAAGAGGGAATGGAGTTGGCAGAGAGAGACAGAGGTGGAACCTGGGCCATCCGTCAGCCCTCAGATGGAGAGTCAAGAGCCCCCAGGTCTGGAGGTGGCTGATGAGGAAGAGGAGGAACAGCTGGGTCCAGTGCCTGACGCACGGATGCGCAGAAGGCAGAGGAGAGGAGAGCAGTGGAAATCTATGGGCCGGTCCTTAGGACGGAAGAGCCACCGCTGCTAGCGAAGCCCCACCCTAACTCTGGGGATAAAAGGCAGGGAGGAGGGAGATAAATAGGTGTGTCAGACAACTATTTATCTCCCTGCCGGACAGACTTGTTAGCCTGTGGTGAGAGAGAGAGTGAGACATTTTGCCGGGGCTGCCGGCGCTCCTAATAAAGGGACCATTTATTTAACTACAGAGGGTTTGTCGTATTTAGGAGCTGGGTTAGAACAATGGGTTGTTAGGAGAATGCCCAAATGAACTCCGAGGGTTTTCTCCGAGGGACCCAATGGTTCTCTTTACAAGCAAAGTTATAAAATCAAGGTTGGCCTTGTGATGGCCCTTCGTTGTGACCTTTGTCACAACTTAACCTAATCCTAACTTGTGTTCATTTTCCCAACAAAGGGATGCCAATTTTTAACCGTGTTAAATGACACATCCAGCTTTGGCCTGACCACTTAAGCTTGGATGGAGACACTCCCAATGAAGGAGATCCAGAGGAAGGAGCAAATCAGACAGTAACAGATGTCCTTAAAACATCAGCCAGATTTGGCCAAGTCAACGCATCACTTTTCTTCATTGTCTCTCAGTCTGAAGTTTCAGGGGCAATCTCCTTCCTCACCCACACGCCCTCCTCCTCTCTCCTCAAGAGAATGAATGGATGGGATGGATTCTTGGTTCAAATAAGCAAGCGATCCCCCAGCCAAAGGTGTCTTCTATCACTTGGCAGTCAGTCATAAGCAGAAGGCAAACTTCTCGGTGACTAATTAAACCAGAAAAAAAAAAGCAAGATTCTTTTAGTCCCAGTGCTGTCAGTACCTTGATCCAGCAGCAACAGCTGGGGATGGAGGGAGGGAGGGAGGCTGGGGCACCCCACAAGAGAATCTGTTGGGTTGGGGTCCATCGGAAGGAAAGCAGGACATTTAAGCCCAACATCCTTCATCTAGGGCTTAGGCACCCATGCAGATGTTGTTTAAGAGCCAAAGCTCAGTGGCCAGAATGGACGCTGGTTTTGGCGACAACCTTCGGGAACCTCGCCGACCATTCTCCCCAGTTTGCAGAACTGGAGACGGGACTGCTGCCTCTACCCCGCCAGAAAGATCTTGATTGGCAGGCAGTAGGTGAGATTAGGAGCCAGCTGGCTCCCGTCTCCAAAAATTGTCAGGCCTTGAAACAGCAGCAGCAGCTGCAAAACTGCTGGATAGACTTTCAAGGGGTCCACCCTGCAGCCTGACTTAAGCCCACCCTGTTAAACCCCCCCCCCTCTCCCCGTTAGACAGGCTGCCTTTCTAAGGATGGGGGTGGTTGCAAGCTTCTTTCCAGCCCCAAATCCAGGCCAGGTTTTTTTGGGGGGAGGAAGACGCTTCTCAATTTGCTGAGGTTCATTTGCTCCAGAAACTAGGATTCTTTGTCAGTTTTGAAGCCAGAGGAGATTAAGCATGTCCTCGAAAAGGGGATTGGCTTCCCTTGAATCTATAGCACCACCTTAAAAGAATAATCTTATCTTGTAGGCAAACCCAGAGAATCTGTTTCAAAACACTAACCGGTAGCCTTAGGAGGTTGTTCATGAGTTGGCCTGAGCATGTGCAAAGTGTCTTGACAATGTTTAGGCTTGGCAACCTGCAAAACATAAGAGAGATCTTTTGGGGGTTGCTTCTACTGTGTTTTCGAAAAGATTTGTAAGGAAGGAAAAACAGGAAGACAAAAAAAGAAAAGGGGAGAAATGAACAGAAACAGTAAATGAATTGGGAATGTACAAGCTTTAGAATTAAAGTAGAGCACATTAGCTAGGCTAGAATTTACAATATTTCATCCCATCTGCTTCGTGTATTATTGTATTATTGATTTAAAAATGGAAGGAGGTTGTTGAAGTATAGGTAATGTATAAATCCAAATCGCAGAGATCACGATGGTATAAATGCAACTGGGTGGGGTTTTTTTTAGGAAATGAATGCACTAGGGGTTCAGAATTAGGGATCATAAGCTGAATTAAATCATAAAAATGCAACCTTAAGTGTTGTCTGCAGGGGTTCAGATTTACAGCAGGTCCTTTCCATCTCCCTCTCTGTTTTTTGTAAAAAAAAAAAAAAAACATTTTAAGAAACGCTAATTTACTTGTTTACCAGAAAAAACTGATGACTAGAAAATTGCTTACATTAAGGAAGAAAGCATCTCTTTCTGCTAAGATTGGTTGTTTTCATGGAAATCCACACATTTCGGAAAACTAGTATGCTTTTTTCCTTCTCCTTGATCAGAAAACAAGTTCGCGTGTATGGAAGGTCCATGAAGTATGCTCTTTCTCCTTGACCAACATGGATTTGGCATGCTAGGGCCGTGTTTCTCAACCTTGGCCACTTGAAGGTATGTGGACTTCAACTCCCAGAATTCTGCTGGCTGGGGAATTCTGGGAGTTGAAGTCCACACACCTTCAAGTGGCCAAGGTTGAGAAACACTGCACTAGAGAGACCCATGGAAGCATTTCCACCAATGTAGAACTTCTGCATGGAATTCTCATACGAGAAGCAGTGCCAGATTGCAGAGAGGGATTTGACTTCCCTGAGGCCTGGAAACTTGATGGAACCTTTCCTCGAGTTGTAAATCAGAGACCAGGGAGTCAGCAGAGAACTTAACATGGCCTTTTCATGTCTAGCTGTGCGAGAAGACATACCCAGACTTGGCCAGTGGACTTTCTCCAGTTGTCCATCAACAACAGGTGGAACCTATTGAATTCAACTCCAAATGGATCTCAGAAGACTTCCTTGTCTAGGAGAGGAGATTTTTAGGTCTCCTGCTGGCCCAAAGCACATGGACTCCTTATTAAATAAATCTACCATTGTCCTTCTCTGGTGGAATAAAAGGAACGCTGCACGCTTGGCTCTTCACCAGACAAAAACCCAGAACCATCCTTCAATTTTCTTCTGGTCCAGCTGCTGCCCCAGGAGACTGAACTGTTGGCACGGGAACAGGATGCTTGACTTGCCACAGCTGTTGGGGGCAAAGAAGAGGATGGAAAGACCCATAGTAGCTCTTTTTAACGGCAGTAGGATTGAAGAGCTGTCTAGATGGGAAGAAGGACCATGGTTCTCTCTTAAGTCAATCCCACCTCTCTCCTTCCCTCTGCTCTGCTTCCATTTGGTCTTCTTTCCCCTTCCAATTTCATCCAGACGCCAGGAACTCTAGCATTTCAGGCAAGCTTGGATAGTAGGATGTCCAGGATCAAACTAATGGTTCTCTTAGAAGATTCATCCTTGAAAAAAAAGCACCACATGAGAAAACCTGACTTGGGGGAAGGAGAGGACATCTCTGACCCACCAACGTCCTTGAAGAGAGATTTTTTGAAGATCACTGCGTCCATCACCATTGAACGTACCCGCGTTGGAGAGAACCACTGAAAGAATTCCACATTTGCAGTCCTCCATTGTGTCAAGAAGGCACCCTTCCATATCTACCAGGTGCCTCTTCTGCTCTGGAAACAAACAACCAGAGGAAGAAGTCTCTCTTTTCTCAGATTAAATATATATTAGGCAAGAAGGTCAAAACAAATTCCTTGTGTGTCCAATTACACTTGGCCAATAAAGTATTCTATTCTATTCTTAAAAAAAAAAAAAAAACCAAGACAGAATTCGGACGAGGAATTTATACTTTCAAATAAGAATCTGGATATACATAATTCAAATAGTTGTAATCTCTCTGGCCGGCTGTCTTTCCATGCAGGGGAGGAGAAGTAGGTAGCCTCTTCTAGGGCAGAAGAGGGCAACTCACACCTGCAAAAGGTTTGGTCAACCATCAGTAGCCATCTTACCGGTGTGAAAACTCACCTAGCAAAAGTAAGAGTTGAGAGCCAACCAACCATGCTTGCTGAGCCTAGTGTATGACTAAAAGTTGGCTTATCCTAGCTGGGAAAAATTGAGGAGTTGGGGTTCAGAACATCAGGGGGACACCAGGACACCAAGATGGGGAGGATTACTTTGGGTTTGAAGGAGAAAGCAAAGCTAAGCCAAAACCTCTTTTGGAGGACAGGCCAAATCTACAAGAAGGAAGGCAGGAATCCCTTTTCCATTTCAGTACAGATAGTCCTCGGCTTACAATCACAATTGAACCCTGAATTTCTGTTGCTAAGTGAGACAGTTAAGTGAATTTGCCCCAAGTCAAAGACTACCTGTATTATCTGCTAACTTTTAAGAGGATCCTCGTCAGGAGAAGCAACCTTAGGCTAAAACTTCCATTGTACTGGAGAATATTTGTAGCTCAGGGTTGAAATGAGGGGTCCTTGGTGTTCTCTGAGCTTGGTGGTTTTCTTGCAGATGTTTCATTAGCCATACAAGATAATATCATCCGTGTGTAGCATTGTCTGCAAGAAACATCTCCAAGAAAACCACCAAGCTCAGAGAACACCAAGGACCCTTCACTCCCATTGTATTGTGAAGGGTAACCACACAACTGAAATCCTCGGTCTCTACCACCCCCAAGTGGCTGTGTTGAGAAGGTCCTTTTGATGGTACCACCCGTCATCTGCTTTCCTTCTGGATTACTTTCCCTAGAAAGCCCTCTCTCCTTTCTTCCCCTCCTTTTTCTCTTTTTCTAGATGAACCAGAAGATATTCTTAGCATCTATTAGCACCTGGATTTTCCTGGCATCTGTGAAACCAGTTGCCCATATTCTCCATCATCTTTTTTGAGAGTAGCATTCTTGGCAGTGTCCAGAATTGGGTTCTAAGTGGGCTTTGGAAGCCCAAGGCTGGTCAAACCATGGAAAGGATGGGCTGGTGGAAAGAATAGCCTTTCTAACTAAGAGAGACAATCAATGCGAAGGTTTGAATTCTCTCCCGGCAGCCCCATGGGGGCAGAAGGCTGTCTTCAAATGTCATGGCAACCAAGTCTCACCAGGGTTGTGTGAAAAGAATCCTTGTTGCTACGGAATTGAGAATCAGGGGAAGAGGGGAAGAGGAAGAGAATTAGGACCATGGGATTTCCCCCTCCCCCCAAGAACATCCTGACCTGAAAAAACTTGAGTCTAGCACACTTCACACATGTCTTTGCTCAGGAAGTTGGGCTGAAATTTCCTTGCCTTATCAAAGCGTTGCCTCCTACGTATCACCCTTAACTGGGAGCACAAACTGGGTCGCAGGGGGAAATCACTTTCCCTTTTTTGTGTAGCATGTACCGTTATGGAAAAAATCCAGCCACTCCCTGTTCGTGCAGAGCCATTGTCTTGTCCTCTTTGTCAGAGTGAAACCTCAAAGGATGGGAGGGAAGAGGGGCCTTTGGCTTCTCCTGACTGGGAATTGAACCTGGGCCGCGGCGGTGAGAGCGCCAAATCCTAACCACTAGACCACCAGGGACTGGAAAAACTTCTAGCGGTATGGTGGCCTAGCGGTGAAGCTAATCACCTTGCATGGGGAAAGTTGAGAATTCAATCCTAGGTAGCGGCAGATGTTTCTCTCTTCCTTGGGCGCAAATAAAAAAATGTCTCCTGCGAAAGCCATGTGGTATCCGGAAGGGCATCTGGCCAGTAAACGCTCAGCTCCATCAGCCCCGACTCTACCCCGGGAAGAGAATCATGAAAAGGGGAGCAGCTTGGTGGCCCATACAGGAACCGAACCCTCAACCTTGGCGTTATCAGGTCCACATGTGGGGGAATTGGAGAACACAGTGTGTATCAGATAGAAATGATTGTCAGCGGCTTTGCTCAACATTTGGTGTTATCCAGAATGTCAAAAAGGGCAAGTAATTACGAGCATAAAATTATAGTAGGAGGAAAATCAGCAGATCTAGAACTGGAGGACAATCATATTGACTGTACAGTGAAACCTTCATGTAATAAACCTTTACGGGAAAAAGTGTGTCTGTTAAATCCATAACAAAACCTTGATTTAAAGGACAGATCCATAATGTAGTGTACAGAATCAGAAGCAAAAAAAAAAAAAAAAGTCCGCTAAATCCAAAGTCCACTAAATCAGCATCTGTTAAACAGAGCATGTTTAGTACTATTTACTTTTGATTTGATTTAAATTGTAAATCAAATGGGATCCAACTTAGTCGTGTTTGACCTTGATGCGTTGGCTGTACCCTTTCCCCAACACAACGGCTGCCGTTTATTCCTTTCCTTGTGCAAAGGGGTTGATTTAATGCATGTGAGTCGGAAACAGAGCTGGTGCCTTTGCATGCACACCTTCTACGCCATCTTTTCTCACTTCTATATTTTGCTTGGAATAATTCTCAGAAAGGGTTAACACTTTGTGGCAGCTCTCAGAGTGCCCATTCTCTTTGCACGAAGTGGGTCACTGGTTGTTGTTGTCATTGTTTATTATTATTATTATTATTATTATTATTATTATTATTATTATTATT